CAACAAGTATCTGTAACTTAAGTTATACCTCATTTGCCGCAGCTGGTCTAAAAAGATATACTACGGCACACACTCCCTATTCAAGAAAACTGAAAAAAGTTTGATGGTAACGGGTGGACATGCAGACTATGAACCAATCTTATAATTTTTTTAGGAAATTCGGTGTGTCGGTAAGTGCTCATGAACAACATCGTATAGTCACTTTCTTTTACAGGATTTGTTACTAAAATGTCATTCATCCATTTTCTATTACTCCTGTGAACAATAATGTTAGCCCAAAAATTAGTGCTATCTTAGCATACACTTTGCAAAACAAACTCTTCTACTTTTTATGGAAACAAAATCTTATATTAGTCAGGCAAATAAATTAGAAAGCAATTGAATAATAAAGGAATGTGGGAGCTCAACAGGTTTTCGTAAGATATAAATTAAAAATTAGCTCAAGTAACTTAATGAGCAAAACAGAACTTGCCGTGAGAAACTCGAAGCACGGTTTCAATTTGTTGAACCATAGGAGAGAAAGCCATAACCATGGTGGAAAGGACATGCAACATTATTATCACATTTGCCTGCAAGATTTCTTGAGGGATGGAGATTATGGATGAAGCAAATCCTCATTCGAAATTTTGAACGTCGTATTATTATCAGCAAGTTTTGTATTAAGGAAAGTCATGTGATGCCTATGTTTACCATCAGCGCAGAGAAAAATTAAGTGGTACTTGTTACAGTAGTACTAACTACTTTACACCTGCTTGCTGCTTTTCAACTTTCAATTGTCAGATGTGGTTTAGTAGATTGAGTAAGATTGATATTGGCTGATCTTTCGAATATTTGTCAAGCTAAACGGTTTCCAAGCGCTAAGCAAGACAGTACTCAAATTCCAAAAATTTATTCAAATAATTACCGTCTGCTGCAACCATTGCCATTGTATAGAGTGAATTACTACGTCTCCAACAGATGCACCATACACGAGATAACCACCAATTGCGATAGACAAGTAGTAGAGTAGAATGACTGGTAAAAATGCTATATAAATAGGAAAATCCTAGTTTAAAATAAAATTTACCTATGTGCGCCACCCATAGAGATCTAGCAAAAAGGCGTGGCTTTTTCATGTCGTGTTGTAACGCCGGAAGGAACGCGTGACATCCAAATGCGAATACTATTGTTCCATAGGCCGTGAACAAGTTTTGCATACTGAACTGACGTCTAGGTGCATCCTGGTAAATCATCAATGAATAATTTTAAAGACTTTATAGAAATGTTCACAATTATAAGCGCACTCGAAAAAAATAAAGAATATTATGTTTAAAAAATAACTCATCAGTGTATAACAAAGCCGAGTAATGTACTTTTTTCTTCTTCCTTTGCTTTCACATCCCATAATTTTGAGAGCACTTACTTATCCATAATCACCACATGTACTGTAGGTCAGGGAGGCTTTTTTATTTT